GATAAAAGATAAAGGGGGGAGTCTTCTGAAAATCACAAAGGGCTGCTATATGTATATTAGAGCATAACATAAGATATACATAGCAAAATTCTATGAACATCGTAATAATCAACAAATATTTCTTAATTTGAGTTTTGGTTTCTAAGTAATAGAATCTGAGAACTTTTCACAGTAAACAAAAGGACAAATAGATACTGCTAAAAGGGCACATTTTTCTTTAAATTTCGGTCCCAAGAGAAAAACAAAAACAAACTAGAGTGTGTTTATAAATTATACTTTTGAAGTAAAACGTATTTATTATGTGTTAAATGTTTCAAAATACATTTAATTGATTCTTTCATTGGGTTTTTGAATTAAGTTCAGCTTCACGTACATAGGGAACCCATAGGTTGCCCTTCTACTTTATTGGGCTCTAGGTCTCTGATGGAGTTATGAAGTCATCCCTATCTTGTTGGCTCAGCTGCAAATTAGATGGGCTTAAGCAAGAAGCTAAAAGTAGTAGAAAAAATAAGAAAAGAAGCACTTAGACTTATATGTCTCAGTATCATTCACAATGGCATTCAAATGGTGGAAATCCAACACATATCTAAAGAAACTAATTTTTTGAATCATTTCAGTTTTGTCATCAATAAGCATTTAATAATACATTAGTATCTAGGGTAAAGAATGTGCGTGTTCTGAAAATAGAAAGAAATGGCCTGTGATGATTGAACTGAGCTTTCAGAATTATCTATCTTATATACAATGATTAATTTGCCCCGGTAAGAATCTGGCTTAAGTACTACAGGGTAGAAAATATTGGCGGGAAGTAGATATTTTATCTTCCAGTGCAAGATAACTCTATGGAAGTCGCTGGTAGGTATAACTGACAGGTTTCCTGGGATGGAACATGAAAAACATTGCCATAAACACATAACAAGAATAAAACCAAAAAAAAAGGCAGCTTACAGTCAATTTACAAGACTTAGATTTAAGGAATGGACCCTTCAGCTTTGTTGATATAATCTCCTTTTCTTTTGTTTTACTGTGAAGAATAATATTTTGGAAAATATCTGTATTATCTATGTTTGCCAGCAATAGTGTGGTCTAAATGATACCAAAGTCCGCCACACCATTAGAGAAACCTGGTCCTTCTTTTGTTAGGAAATTAAAAATTCTAGTGTGGTTGCCTTACAGCAATAGCAAGAACTCTTTGATATTAAACATATATATATATATATATATATATATATATATATATATATATATATGTATATATATATGTATATATACACACACACACACACACAAATATATACATATATTTTCTAACCCTATTTTTTCTGTTAATTCCATTAAAATGAATGCATGCCTTCCTCCAAGTAAAAATCTAGCCTTTAAGACCCCAATCAAGTTTCTAGACTACTCCAAAATGGCCTCTCCTTCCTTGGAACATATTTTCCTTTATTGATTTATTTATTTGGTATGTCTTACTCAGAAGTTAGTCAAATCTGATGTGATCATTCCTATATTGTCTCACATATTCTATTTTGAATCTTAAACATTTTTCACTTATTTCTTTAACGAGGTGGTAAGTCTAGTATGATCCTTTCATCTAGTACACATCCTTTAAATATCTATTGATTTGATGTGTTAACTTGACAGGAATAAAATGAATTTGACCTAATATAAAATATGAAGGACATGTTTTTGGCACACTGTGGTAGACAAATGAACTCAAAGGTCTGTTATCAAAGGTAACTGATTTATCTGGAGTAATCTTTAGTCTGAGCAAGTCAGACGATGTTAGGCTTTGTGGATTAACATTATGAGAAGAGAAAGTCTATTTTTGTTGAGAGTGAAAATTTTTCAATATCAGTGTAATTAGGGACAAATCAGAGATTAATGATGCATTATATTACAGAGCTTTAACTGATAAGCACCAAGAAATGGCTTTCTCAACTTCAGTTTGCAAAATATTATTTCTATACTTGGCTCCATGCACAGAAAATAATGGAAGTTGGGCCTGCTATTCAGCAAATTCAATATTTATTCTGAAATGTGAATTGTTGAGTTATAGGAATATTTTACACACTCCAAAAGAGCATATAATCTACCTCTACTAATTAGTTTCTCTATGAAAGCCTTCCAGACAATTACAGGGTAATACCACCGGTCAATGCTTTAGGTGCTTTTCATTAAAGGTATAGTGTCGCTACCAGATGAATTGCTTCATATAAAAGCACTTACCACAAAGCCCTATAATGGAAGGTTAAGTGCTATACTTAATTACTAATTTCAACCCTTATTACCTATATTTTGTAGTGCAGGCACTTTAAAAAGAACCAAATATAGCCTCTTGGTTCCCGCTTCTCTGACTATAGGATTTGCTAGTAACAGCATTAGTCCAGCTATTTTTCTAATGAATAACAAACAAACAAAAAAAGGTTTTAAATAAAAATAGTAATACCACAAAACAATATAAAAGAGATATACTAGGCATTTCTACTGAACTCATACCTAAAATCACTTAGTTCTAAAACTTTAATCTAGATGATGACACATTATTTTCATTTTGTATTCAGCCTTTATTGGAATTGTTGCAGATGGAACTCCAAAAGAAAAAGGAATTTGAAAATTTCATGGCTTACTTCCTACCTCAATGTAATGCTGAAATGCACACAGAGTGTATGATTAATAAAATACTTGATGGCAATCATATTGGTCATTACCTGTTTATATGTATATATCCAAATTCCTCACAGGTGCTCTAATTTGCTTGAGGGCAGACTGTTTTACCCTTGTTTGTATCCTTAGAATAACTGCAAATTTTCTCACTTTTGATTTGTTAAAATTATCTAAAATACTTTTTGGTGAAAGGGCACTTAGACTCTTGGACTAAATATAAAAGTTTGCATCTAAAATACGTATTTCTAAAGATTTTCTCCTAATTATCATAATATTGCCAGTTTATGATTTTAAAATATATTTTATATTATTTCTAATACTGAGCATCCATTTAATTGGTAAATAAGACATTATATGTGGAAATAAATATTAACCTAGAAAAAAATTTACAAATATTTGTTGACTTCATTAAGTCATACTTAATACTTAATTACTACTTTAAATACTTAATACTGCCAAACTTCAATTCAACTTGGACATTAGCCTGCCATAAAAAGACAGAGACCATGGTTTTTTGGAACTATACCTAGTACACAGTATTTGGTATGTGCACAATTAAATTTAATCACATAGGTGTATTAAAATAATGAAGTATAGGGATTTTTAAAAACATAAAATATTTATCCACATGCATTAATGCATTAGAAAACTAGGTTCTGATTATTTACGCTTGGGAAATGCATACCATTATTTCCCTTTTAGAAATGCATTATGAATATTAATATAATAAAGTTCAAGTAAAGACACTGTTAACTAGCTTAATCCAGACTTTCCCAAACTAACCTGAGAGTGGGGCTTCCTCTCTCCCCATAGAGGTCACCATTAACATTGTCTAGAACAGCGTTCTTAAAGATACCAGTTTGAAAAGTGTGGTAAGAGTAAAAAAGTTATTAAATTTAAGATAATTTTAAAGCATTAACTGGTGAAACAAAGCTAGGTTTTAGGAGGCAACTGCCACCCTGGAATAATAATAGGATGTATCGTTTTACATGTTTAGGTCCACTGTTCACAGATTACATTCAAAGGGCGGGCCTAGACCTCATCCTATTACATCTTCCATGGCGTCCAATGCACTGATTTGTTCTAGTAAAGAGGTATTGATGAATTGCACTTTAGGCAATTCACCAATGTCCTCTTCTGTAATTCCACCGAGGCTGTATTTATTATTAAAAAAATGCATTTCAACTAGGATTTCAGTAAATTCCATAAGGGATTTTCAGTGGCTATGTAATGTGGCATGCAGATTTAAGTTACTTTCCTTCCAGATCGTCCATCCCTTCATCTTATTAACAGAAGGTGTACATTCTCCTAACTGCAGCGTAAAATCGGGATAGTTCCCAGGACATCAATTCAGCAAATATTTATTGAGAGCCTACTATTTGCCAGTATTATAATAAGCACTGGACATATTATGCTTCCTTCTGAGTTTTGTCATAGAGCTGTTATTTTTATTACCTTTAAATCAGCAACTATTTGAAGAGAACCCAGTTTATAAAATAGGTTTGAAATGAGGCTTGAAGATGTTAAATTTTATAAATCAGAAGAGGTCCAGAAGGGTATCGCAGACATTTCATTCCATAACTGTAAGTCAGTACTAAGGAAAATTGATCTTTATTTGATAAGTTAGTTATTTCCTCAAATTATTTCTTCTGAGAAACAAATAGAGGAGTTTACGTATACATTTTGATAATCATTGTTATTGTGCAAAATGAAAATTCTTGTTATTGTGTAAAATGAAAATGAATAGTACCAGTGTCAGAATACTCGTGAAACCCCATGGTTATATGACAGTGAAAACAAAGTTCATTTACTTACATGTTCTTATAACTGATTGACAGTACTATAAATAGTTCCTTTACTATTTCTCTGTGTGTCCCATGGCCCTCCTGCACCTTTCATGAGCTTTAGCTATGTATCACCATCAGAAGAATCACCACCGGGTTCTATTTTCTTTCACAGAAAAGTGTTATAAAGTCCCTCCCCTGGCTTTAAATGTTAACTTTGTTACTTTTGACAAAGCCTTTCCTTTGTTCAAATGCAAGGATCCAGTAAAAAGAGCTTTGACATGTTGTGCTTTTAATGTGTGCGCTTTTTCTGATTTCACTGATGTCCTGAATTTTGCAAACGATAACGTGTGCCTTTAGGCTCTTCTCTAAAATGCCATTTGTACACTGTATCAAGAACAGTTTAGGACAGCAGTACATTCATATGACTCTAACGTCCAATAAATACTTGATGGCTTCACAATTTGGTGAAACGAACGCAAAACAGTGCTTTGTTTTCCACTTTGTTTTTCATAACATTCTTCCCCGGATCCACATTCACCAGCTTACCTGCAGGGTAGCGCTCTATCACGGGCCAGCTGTCCACCTGTAACGTGGCATTGCCACCACTCCTCGTGAAACGGACTACATGATATTTCCCATCGTTAATGATTGCATTGGACTCTTCAATGGCGATGTCATCTGTCCCAACATTAAATTTAACTCCAATTTTTCCTTGGTGCTGGAAGGGAGGAGGGGGGAAAAAAAAGTTGTATAAAGTTGTACTGATGAGTCAGCATTACATAAGACCTGCATACAGGATATTGTTCAAGAACATGCTTCAGACAACAGCTGCTTTCCTCCAAAAACTCATGTAGTCGAAGCAAGATTCTTAACATTTGGGTAAGGCTGAAGGATCTCTTTCATGGATAATTGACATTCCAAAAGACACACTTCCAAGGGAAGTGAGCTGCCTTCTTCCTGGAGGTTGCCACCGACAAGGTGCACAGCTGCCTGTGTGAAAGCACATCTTTTCATGTCCTGTAACATAGCTCCTTTAATCCACTCTTTTCATTTCATGAGAAAAATGAGGCTTGACATTCTCCCTTTTAATAATGGTAAAATCAGAGCAATGAAGTCTGTTTAGAGACAATTGACAAATGCTCACAGTATAGAAAATCATTCCAAAGTGTACAGGCACACAGACAGGCGTTTAATGAGTGTAGTTTCTTAGTCATTATTCACACACACACACAAATCATGAAATGCTAAGAGCCTGAAATTGATCCAATTTTTTTATTTTACAGATGATGAAACTATGACAGAGGAGGGTGCCATGACATGCTCAAGGTCACATAACTTAATAGAGGGGTACTAGAACTAGAATTCAGTTCTCTCATTCTTAGTTTATATCTAAGCTAAGGTACGGCTATCTACAACTGACTTACTCTATGAATTATGCAAAGCAGGGTTACGAATCATCCTAAGTGCAAAGTCTGTGGCTGCTAACTTCAGAATGGCATCATACAAGGTGGCAAAGAGAAACATATGCTTGTGTCCTCTGCTTCTGAGAAGCATTCTCTAACAGTAGGATTGTCAACTATTATGAACTCAGCTGATTTTTAATGCATGTGGATTTGCTCTAATCAGTGGCACTGCAGGCCCTTGTCCATGTACAGAAGCTCAAACTGTCTGTTGTTCACCTTTTGTCAAACCTCAGCTGAGAGAAGCAACGTGGGGGAAGAAGGGCTTGGAAGGACATATTGTCTATCCATTTCTGTACCAATTTATAATCAGAATACCGAAAACCTGAAGGTTTGGACCACATCCTCTTGGCCTCTTAGAGATTCTCATCATCAAACTAGACAGCGAGAGTATGACACCAACTTACACTGAGAGTTTTAAGAAAATCTTGTCTAAAACTGCACTAATTGAAGGGAAGTATCTGAAGATGTTATTTGGGGCATTGTTCATTGCCCTCTTCATTTAGATGTTCTATTTTTCTTTTTTCTTGTTTTACTGTCCATAAGGGATCTTTTTCTTATAAGTTAGTATGATTTTTAATTTTTAAAAAGTTTGGTTTATTTTAGGTTTGATGGACAACAGGACTTAAAATCACATTTCCTTAAAGTGAGAAGGGGAATTTTACTAGCTGTATAGTCTTCTGGTATACAGTTTTCCTCTGGACTTATTTTCACTTTCTGCCATATTTTTCAGGATCTTTACTTTTAAATATATGCCATTGTAAGGCATTTCAGTTTTTTTGAACAATGATTCAGGTGATAAAAAATAATGAGATTCCAATAAAAATTAAAATTTTTCCAAGGGGCCCGTGGAGACTATTTTGTTTGATTTTTAGGGGGTGGAGGGAGGGTTTGTGCATACCTCTTTTGTACGAGCATTTATTATTTCCTCATTTTGGTAGAATTCCTATCTTCTCATTTTCAGTAATTATTTAAGTGGTACACATCTATTTTAACATGTGATGTAACTTCACAGGATAATTAAGAACTTCATTTAAAAGGTTTGTGGTTATCTTTATTTAACGAACACCTTCATAGTTTTCTAAGTACTTTACTAACTCCAGAATTTTCCAGAAAATGTATGAAAGAAGTACTATTTTATCTCCATTTGACAGATGAAGAAACTGAAACGTAGAGTGGCTAAGGTCATACATTTAGAAAGAGAAAAGCTATGGTTGAAATCCAAGCAGTCTGGCTTCAGAGTTTATGCTCCTAATCATTACACTAGGCTGACTTTTAGGAATACTGGCTCATCCTATAACCGGAGTTAGGAGATTTGGTAAATCTAGTTGTTCTTTACTTTTTTATCTTTCCTGCTAGAGTAGGCGCACCACGGGATCTTATATTGTGCTTTGCAGATTACACATACGTATCAATCAATGTGTGCTTAAAATAATTTTATAGAGGACAGTAAGCAACTAATATGTGGATGTAATATGGTGTTAAAATGAACTCTTTTTTGTCTCAGTTTCAGCTGTAATCTTGAGGTGATAAGAAGTCAAAACACAGATCGCTACTTCCATTTTTCAAAATGAGGTACATGATTGCCTCAGCCAGACCTACAAAGGAGAGCACTGAAAACGACTTTTGGGATACTAAATTAATTACCTATTTCCAGCCCATTAAAGAAGCAAGAAAGGCCAAGATGAGATTGAACATTAGAAGAGGATTTGAGGGAGAACTAGGATATGATATGATTTGCATGAACATCCAAGGTAGAAGGTACATTTCCCTTATCTCAAGTGCAGGGGGAAAGGACTTCAATGGAACCTCAGAAAGTTTCATATTTGTCTCTTGGAACTTGGTGGAAGTGGTTGGGGAACTCAGCAAATTGGGATTTGACTTGTGCCTGAGATATCTTCAAGGGGAGAGACTGTGCCTGGCTGATGCTTTGATAGCAGAACAAAGTATTACTGGACCGGCTGAGTGGTTCAGTTGGTTAAGGGCATGAGCTCTGAGCAACAGGGGCACCGGTTTGATTTCTACATGGGCCAATGAGCTGCGCCTGAGCTGAGTTGCCGCTGAGCTGCCAACAGGTGGAAGGATGGCTCTGCTGGTGAGAGCACATGCTCCTAACAACAAGGTTTCCGGTTTGACTCCAGCATGGGATGGTGGGCTACGCCCACCCACAACTAAGATTGAACACGGCACCTTGAGCCGAGGGGCCGCCAGCTGCTGATGGGTGGCCAGATAGCGACTGGACTTGGAAATGAGCTAGCTGTGCCCTCCACAACTAAGACTGAAGGACAACAACTTGGCTGTTCCCCTTCCCCAATCCCCCAACACTGTTCCCCTTAAAAAAAAAAGAGGTATTACTGCACCAGGGGCCACTACTTGTGGATCACAGTTTGTTAGAATAAGGGACGCATGAGCATTGCCAGTGGACCATGGGGTTAGAATGCCAGCACAGAATTGTGTTGCATTCTGTCCAAGAGAGCCACTGCGGGGAGGGGTAGTGAGTGGTAAAGACAGCTCAACAGAAAGAACCTGGAGTGGTAGTAATGAATACATGGGGACTGAGGTGGAAATCCTAAAGGACCATCTGAAGGAAATACATTCACCCACCTCAAGGAAATTGCAGGTAAAGAAATTCCAGTGATGTGGCATGCTCCCCCAAAGTGCTCTCAAAGTGCCCCTCAGAGTCAGTTTTAAGCATAGGCTAAGCTCAGCTAGATAGCTACTATTGTATTAGCCAATTAAGATCATTTCTGTCTCTTGTCTCCTCTTCCTTCTCCTGCTCCATCCCTGGAGGTGTCAGGGAGGAGGAAGAGAAATGACTGTCATGGGGACAAGAGGAGAAACAATCCTGTCCCCTCACCCAGTGTAAGTGGCAGATCCAAGTCAGCCCAAGCAGTGCTAAAGGACTGGCTTTAACTGAAGTTGTATTTATTATTACAAAGCAGTGAACTGAAATTACGTCTCATACCTAAAAGCGACAAGATGACATCTTACTAGCCAAGAATGACCAAAGTTGTACTGAGACTGTCACTGTACTTCCCTGTGGTCAGGAAGAAATACTACACAGGACATGTTTAAATTCCTGTTGTACCCTAGGGATCACATCTTTCAGCATAACAAGTATATGAACATAGTTCTTACTCTATAGATTTGCCCATTGTTTTAGAGTCTCTTTTATTGCAGGTATGTTTCTTATCCCTGGATAGACTGAAAGAAGTTCTTACCCTACAGATCCTGATAGGAAGGCTGTCATAATTGATTTTTATCAGAGATTCAAGTTCTGTGAATAGAAGCATTACAATGCTATAGATACAAAATGCACCAAACTGTAAAGTTCCTTTACCTTATCCCTAAATTTTTATGCATTATGAAATGTAAAATGCTTATTTTCCAGGGTACAGAAATCCCAGATTTCACAGGGATTCATTTCTTGCAATATAATAAAACAAGTAAGAGACAATGAGGATTGGTAATGGCCAGAGAGCTTCGGACTTTAAATGATGTTCATCTTTCCCTGAATATGCTGATTTGGACCTTCAAATTCCAACATCTTTGATATCTCATGGATTCAAACTCCAGGCTCAGCCAGAACAAAAATAAATACCACCAAACTAGCTCAAACAACAGACTACCCTAATTCAGACATTATTACCCCAATCCAGGTTGCAGTACATCTTTGAAAAACAATTTAATCATAAATGATAGCCAAAGGGTCAATTTTTTCCTTGAAAACAAATACATTAAAAACGTATATAGGGCCGGCCGAATGGCTCAGTTTGTTAAGAGCGCGAGCTCTGAGCAACAGGGTTGCTGGTTCGATTCCCACATGGGCCAGTGAGCTGCACTCGAGCTGAGCTGCTGCTGAGCTGCCAACAGGTGGCAGGATGGCTCGGCTGGTGAGAGTATGTGCTCCTAACAACAAGGTTTCTGGTTCGACTCCAGCAGGGGATGGTGGGCTATGCCCACCCACAACTAAGATTGAACTTGGCACCTGGAGTGGAGCTAGCTGCACCCTTCACAACTAAGACTGAAGGACAACAACTTGGCTGTTCCCCTTCCCTAGTTCCCCAACACTGTTCCAATTCCCCAATAAAAATCTTTAAAAAAAGTATATAAACTACAAAATATTGATATTAAGCACATTAGAGGACCAAAATTTATGATTCTACTCAGAAACTGTAAATATTCTCCAAATATATCCTTCCCATGTTGACAGAATAGCAAGTCATTTCAATTATATAAGCAATAGAACTGGCTAAAC